AGTGGCAGCATCGATGGACTCAAGTGTGGCAACAGTAATGAGGTTGGCCCAGGTTTGGGAAGTGTGTCGTTTTGCTGTGCACAGGGTCGCTATGAGTCGGTACTGACTCGATGTCACCTAACAACAATTCAAGTTCTTATCATTAGTCATCAATGCTTGGTCGAATGGGTACTATCTACAAGTTTGGGCTTTCTTGTACATCTCCCCTCACTTCATTATCAGCTAGACACTTCATTCTCAGCTATAGCCCCCTCCGTGGCTATGTCCTCCTTGTCCATGGGTGCAGGAGTCCCCAGGTCGCACCACACTTCAGACCAACCAGCCCTTCCTCTTCTGTCTCTCAGATCCAGGTCAATGGGAATCTATGGCACATGGTCGGACTCAGCTCATCTCTTCATTGCTGCCTTTCCCCCTCTTCCACTCACCAGTAGACCAATGTGGTGGCCAGTAAGCTTATATGTCTGCTCACGTGTTCCCTTTGAATTTCGGTCTTGGAGGAAGATTAGTTCTGAAGGGGCTTGGTTGCTTGTGTTGATGGCTCCCTGGTGAACAAGTTGCTTGTTCTTGTATTAGTGCCTGTCTTTTTTATCTTGCCAGTAGTGATTACATCTATAAAATACTACAAAAATTTATATTTCACAGAAACAAGCTTTTGTGTTATTAAAAACATTCTAAATCTAACTGCCTGAAATGACCATTACACTAAGAAATGTCCAGTATTGTGCTGTAGGATAAGCACTGGTCTGGTAACTGCAGTGTTGGTGGTTCAAACCCACCAGTTACTCCTAGGAAATCTTATACAGGGTTGCTATGAGTCAGAACTGCTTGTCAGCATTTAACAATAACAACAAAGGATATATATTTTATGATGCAAGGAGTTTTGATTGGAAAAGGAAAGATTCAATGACAAAAGTGCTGACCTAGGGAGATACCCATTTGGGTCTTATTCTTGGTTCTTCTGCCATAAAGTTCTATAACTTTAAGAGATAACATTTACTTTGCTAATACCTTAATTAATAAAAAAAATGCTTAAGGCTAGGTTATCTCTAAGGTCTATAACTGGAATAATAAGAACATCAGAAGAGAGGATAAACAAAAGGATTTAATTTTACTTGAATCCATGATCAACTCCCATGGAAGTAGCTATCAAGAAATCTAATAACATTGCATCGGGCAAATCTGCTACAAAAGACCTCTTTAAAGTGTAAAAAAACTAAGATGTCACACTTTAAAGATGTTCAAACTGACCTTGCTAGACCGCAAGGTCTGGGTGCTTACCCTGCAGTGCCACACTGGACTCTGAAATAGGGAGTACTATCTGAATGATAATGCAGTGAACCACAGGTTCGGTTTGGACCACAAGGTTAGCAGTTCAAACCCACCAGACGCTCCTTGGACACATTATACAGAATCACAATGAGTTGGAACCGACTCGAAGGCACTTAACACCAATAATCTGATTATATGCAGGGTAAGCAATGGACTGCTAACTGCAAGGCTGGAAGTTCAAACCCACCAGCCACTTCTTGGGAACGCTTTACAAAGACGCTATGAGTTAGAACCAACTAGACCACATTTAACAATAACAACAAATCTAATTATATGGTAAGAAAGGCATTGGTCTAGAAGTAAGTTCTTTCTCTACTACTTGCAAGCTATGGGCCCTTAAGCTAATCGCTTAACCTCTCTGAACCTTATTTTTTCCAACTACAAAATGACTATCTTAGTTGTTTTGGAGTCAAAATAAAAATAATGTTATGTCAAAGTATGTGGAAATTATAAAATAGTAGGTATTATTGAATTACATGTTATTGATTACTCTGTTTTTATTCTATTTTGATGTTACATCCACACCACTTGAGAGAATCGTAAAGGAAACTGGTTTATTAATTCTTTAATCCCTTCTTTTCCTTGGCTATGGTGAATGCTATAATAGCTAAAAGGCTAAAATGACTGTTAACAGTTTATTTCATATACCAATTTTGTCCATATTGTACTATAAGAAAAAATTATCAAAGGAAAAGTATAAAGAAATAATATTAAGTGGTATAACCCAGTGCATATATTGTCTACATTAATTAGAAAATAATTTCTCCATGCTGTGTCTTTTATTAAAGAAACAAATACTTTATTTTTTTACAATTTGTATTTTAATCTTTACACTATTATCATCTAGTTCATCTTCCTAATTACTGGAATACAAATATATTAACATCTAGTCCTGCAACTCAAGTTTCATATAATGCAGTTTTAGTAAAATATGATGAGGATAATCAATAATGGAAATAAACTAGTAGACAGTTATATAAGTTTTCCACAGAAAGTTCATATATTCAGACAATGTATGAAAACTCATGACCCATTTTACAGACTCAAGATATTATGAGTATATAGTGACAACATATAGGTATATATTATACAAACCATATAAAAACAATACAAAAGAATAGAAAAAAGAAAAGCAATCCAGAAAGTACTACCAAGAAAGTACTACTTAGAAGTCTGTACCATTGCTCTTCTCTAAGGCTTGCATTGTGTCAGGGTCCAAGGCGATGCTAACAAGCAATTCCATGTAGCTCTTAAAGGTTTCCTTCATTGCTCTTGTGTTCAAAAAACGAGTGACAAAGGGAGCTGGAGGATCAAATTCTGGCAGGGGGAAGAAATGAAATATTAAAATTTCCCTCCTAACAACTTTAAAAGTACTATTCTCTACAAGAGTCCATAAACAGATGAAAGGCTATAGAAAAGATTTCCTCAAATTCAGAATTCTCCCAGTCTTAAAAATACTCTGGATATGATTCACTAAGATGGTTTGCTCATCAAAACCAATGAGTGTTTTATTTTTTTTTAAACAGATTTAATGGTGGTGGTTGTAGTGATAAAGCTCAAGTGTACTTTTGAAAAGTTTCCCATATGATTTTGAAGCCTAGCACCAGACCAGCATTTCGAGACTTAGGCCTGGTAGGAATCGGATTCTTTTCCCCTGGCCCCCATCCCAGACAAAAAATGGGATCAAAAGACAATGGAATTTTACTGCCACATCATGCTGATGTAGTTCTGATGCCTTCTCTTCTGTCTTCATCAGGTAGTAAGAAACTACAAAACATCTGAAGTATGAGTTCTTGCCTCTACACTCAAATTACTAAAAAATTCTGCTATAGGATCAGGACCCATTTAAAAATGTTTAATGTAAACATAGCCAGTGAACAAAGAAAATTTCATTCAAATTCAATAATGGTGGTGACTTTTCTTTTTTTTCTGTGATCTCATTTTATTTTAATAAAATGCAGACCATTGTACAAAATCTTTTCCTTTCATTGATTTTCAGATTTTTTAAAATAATGTGAACAATGATGGCATACAAATGTCATTTACTAGAATACTGTGACCCAAACAGTTAAAAATTAGTAAATGGTAAGTCTATTTTTGCTTCAGAATAGTAGACAAATGATCTGACCAATATTTCTATTGATTTGACTGGCTATTTGGTACTGTAAACACAGCAGTTTTGTAGTTGTTGGGGGCTATTGAGTCAGTACTGACTCAGAACAATCCTATGTACAACAGAACAAAACACTGCCTGCTCCTGAGCCAACCTCACTGTCGATACTAGTTTTTTGCTTTTGTCCTGAGGTTCTGTTTTCACAGAACTAAGAAAAATAAAGTTCTACAAATTGAAGGTGTGCCTTTGTACATTCAAATATAAATCATCACAGCTTATAATAGCAGTTCTCAGTCATGGAACACTGGGACTACACCAAGACATCTGGGGTCTCTAATATCAAAACTATTTTCATAATAAGATTAAGATATTACTTATCATTTTCACTATGTTGGTAATTGCACATATGGTAATTACCCAATAATGTTGGGTAAAACTGCTGGTGCCTTGCTTAGCAAGGCAATGGCATCAAACTATACTAGCAGTCATGTTTCTGCCATGTACTTGTAGGGAAAAAGAGCCAGTTTCATTTATGAATACTTTTTATTGAAGCAGTAAAAATTAATTTTATTAAATCTCCCCTTGTTTTTATGTTTTATTTATGAGTAAATGTTTCTTTCTTTTAAAAATGTTTGTTATCTTAAAAAAAGTTCTTGTGATACTTAGAGATAAACTTCTTCTTAATTTTATAGAAACAGGAATCAAGCTAACATGATTTCAAAATTAAAGGTCTGTAAATGGTTCTTACAAAGACTGTATAAATGTCTTTATGATATTCTGTGTGAACAGATGGCAGTACACATAAAATACTGATGCTGAAAATTATGACATATATTATCTCCAGGAAGAATACCTGGGCAGACTTACAAGATGAACTACCTATTTTTTTTTCACCGAAGTACTGTTCTGAAAGAATGACAGGTAGACACACTATGCCTATTCGGAGTGTGGAATTTGGCAGACATTAAAAAAAAAAAAAATCTATGAAGTGAACCTGTCATGTTAAGGAAACAACTGACAGTTTTTGTTGTCAATGATAACATTTTAGGTTTTAAGTGAAAAGCAGAATTCTGGAAAACTTGTATCTATCACTGTTAGCTTGACAGCTTTCCAACATTTAACAACTTCATTAATGAGGTCAGTATTTAAAAAACATTTTTGATACTATAAAATGAAATGTATGGACATTTGGAAAATCTGCATCACTGAGCTAACTAGTATTTTCCAAATGATCAATGCATAAAGTTATAAAATTTGCATGGATAACAGGTGCATTCAAGGGACCAAAATGAATAGATTTTAATGTGACAAAACAAGAACAGCTTAACAAACTACCACTTGTTAAGTTTTGAGTACTAAAGAAAAATATCCACAATTATCTGAAAAGCCATCTAAAATAGTCCTCTTTTCAACTACGTATCTAAGTGAGGCTGGATTTTCTTTATATATTTTATAACTAAAGTACACAACAAATATGAAATTGAGACTCTTTCACTAAACATTGCTTGTTTTGAAAAGAAAACAAAAAAAAATTTATGTTACTATGTAATGAATTGATCTTAATATTTAATTGGTATTTGGTAAATATCAATACATATCCTACATAGGAGACAAGTGGAATAGTGGATTACACATTGGTCTACTAGCCACAAGGTCAGCAGTTCAAATCTATCAGCTGCTTTGCAGGATAAAGCGGAAGCTTTGTACTCCTGTAAAGATTTATAGCCTTGGAAAGCCTACATAGGGGTCACTATGAGTAAGAATTGACCTGAAGGTAGTTTTTTTTTTTTTAAAGCCTACCTAAACATAAGGTTTTTAAAATGCTCAATAAACTTGATGATTATAAAGGGATCTTGAAACAGATTATGTAAACTGTCACCCTATAACTTTGTTTTGCTAACATTTACTTTCTAAAAAGCACTAAAATGCTTGCTTAACTACTAATGACACCTAGTGGTCACTCAAGTTACTAGTAGAAAGGAAATTTATTTTGTGATTTGAGGAAGCAAACCTCCCTTTATAAATTGTAGGCAGGGCTGCTAACTGCAAAAATAACAAAATGATTTCTATACATATACAAAGCATTTATTTCTTTATAAATTCTGATATGCATACTTCTGGTACAAACATTCAAACACAGCATAAGTGCACTGCTGTACTGGAGAAGACATTTTTGACTATTTCTACTGTGTACTTCTATTGTACAAATAGTTAAGTGCTCAACTACCAACTGAAAAGGTTAGTGGTCGAACCCAGCCATATGTGCCTTGAAAACCAAGCCTGGAGATCAGTTTCCAAAGGGTCACAGTTTTGAAAAACCTATGGCGCAGTTCTGCTCTGCATGGGTTGTCATGAGGCAGAATTGACTTGATGGTCATCAACAGCATTTCTATTAAATTAGTCTCTAATTAGTGTTCAGGCAACAGCTCACATACTTATAATGCATAAGTCTGCCTTTATGCTTAAAGAAAGCAAAAACCATCTGGATATCAACAATTCCCTTAACCCAACACCCAACCCATCATTCAGGTTATGCCAACTTTACATTCTAAACTGATCATAACTGGAATCTCTGCTCCATCACTACCAGCTGAGAGTTCAGACTTTCAAACATGCCTGGACTGTGATGTCTTGAAGTTCAAATAGAAAAGTTACCATTTAAGGTACTCCTCTCCACTTATCTCCCTCTATGGACTCCCCCTCTTTGCCTACAGAATCCCACATTTTTTAGCTTTTTAGGATGGCATACAGAACCTTCAATGATTCCTTCATCCTTATCTCTCTAATTTTAATTTTATACTCTAGAAGAAATGAGATTAGCAAATTTTCTATAAAGGATCTGATGGTAAGTATTGTAGGCTTTGTTGGTCACATGGCCTCTGTATCAACTACTCAAATCTGCCTCGGTACTGGGAAAGCAACCACAAGCAATATATAAACAGGCATACATGTGTTCCAACAAAACTTTATCGACAAAAACAATCTGCTTAAAAATAAAAAATCTGTCTAAGTCTGATTTGGTCATAGGTCATTGTTTACCTATCCCTACTCTGGACTAATGAACCTTCAAAATTTCATGCATTATCACACAAAAATCTTTGAAAGACAATGGAAAGTGTGCTAATATATTTTTATGCTTTACAAGAGCTCTCGTAGCATAGTGGTTACGAATTGGGCTGCGAACCGCAAGGTCAGCAGTTCGAAACTATCAGCTGCTCTGCGGGAGAAAGAGGAGGCTTTCTGCTCCCATAAAGATTTACAGCCTCGGAAACCCTGTTCAGGGTTGCTATGGGTTGGAACCGACTCGACGGCACTTAACAACAACAACATCTATCTTAGTTTTAATTTCTAATATGATAAATATGTCTCTAGTGATGACCACTGTTACAGTAAACAAACCTTCTTTGGGGGCTTTAACATTTTTAAGACAGGAACTAGGTTCCAAGATGAAAAAACTTGAAAACTACTGATTTATTTTAACCATTTCATTTCATAAAAGAGAAAACAAAGGCACAGAGAGAATACCTAGCTTAGATATAGGCACATGGTTGGCTAGCAGCAGATAAATGGTAATAAATAAATAAATACATATATATGAGAAGGCTTCAAAAAGTTCCTTCATACGTATGAGTCGGTTCCAACTCACAGAGACCCTGTATAGGGTTTCTGACATTACTATTAAGTATTAACTAGTTTTAGAGTTGCTCCTAGTCCAGCTTATTTGTGTTTTTGTCTAAGCATGAAGGCAGACTCAGAAATTTGAAACTAGATGATTCTTAGTAATCATTTGACCTAATCCCTACCTAATCCCAAAGAGGTGAGATAACTGGCATTACTAAGGCTAGACAACTCAGGACCTTTCAGTTCACGTCCTCTATCTATTGCACATAGATGTATGTACAGGTCAATGGTACTATCAGTTGATGTGCTTAGGGAATGTGAATATATTTTCAAAAACACTTAAGCAGAACCCAATTATGTGCACAAATCCCCTGGAAAATAAATCAAAATTTAAGTAGTATCACTGCTCCTCTCTTTCCTATTCATGTAGATCATCCAGTTATCAAAGTAGTTAATTCATGATGACCTTACCCTCATCATCACTACTAGAATGGATTTCAGGAGATGAATCGGATTGGGATGATGAAAATTCTTCTTTCCATTTCTTCCGTTTCTTTGGTGGTGGTTCAGCCTTTACTTTTTGCTGTTTAACTTTGGGTTTCATAGAAGGGGTTTTTGTAGTTGTAGCTTTTGGTGTTGGAGAATCAGATGTTTTACTGCTACTGTTTGGTTTAGCCTGAAGAGTTCTGCAATGTTACAAATAATTAAACTTGGTTAACATTGAAATCTTGTCCAAAAAAAACAACAACCTAGAAATAAATAAATGAATCACAAAAGAAAACAGAGTTTTGATTACCTCAGCAATACTTCAAAAATATAGTTCAAATCCTACACATGGTAATTTCAAAAAAAAAAAACCTGTGAACTTCATTCTTTAACTACTGACATTTCATATTTAGTAATTAAATACTCATGACTATTGAGTTGATTCTGATTCACGAGTTATTAAAGGACTAATAATTAAATCTTTTTCTTTCTTCATTCTCATCTCTTTATAATCTCATCTTCCAGATAAATGATGAACAACAAATGATGTAATGCATGATGAGCCCTAATGGCCATATTTAACTCTGACCCTGAAAAGTCTCATAGGCTCTGGTTGTCACAGGTTCTGATGCAGAGATCTCATTGCATATGTCATACAGCCCTAAGGAAGCACTGCTCTATGTGGGTCCTGGAAATTTGAGTAATGAAATTCTACCATAAAAAAGATGAAATGGTTCCAACAGATGGGAACCTTACTTAAACTAGACCTCCCTGTAACTAGATTTGAGAGTATCTATGGCCAGCCCCCATTTCCTATAGAGCCCATAGAGAATTTGGTTAGGTCCATTATCTTCCAGATTCATGCTCCAGACAAACCAGCGTCACATTATTAATGACAACTCGACTGCACATTCATCTAGCAATGTATACATCTACTAGTGCTTTCTCAACATTTATTTTATTTTAACACATTGGTAGGTGGAAAAAGCATTATTATTTTCTTTTAAAATTAAAAAAAGGGGCATCAGAAAGGTTGATCTAATTCTATGTCATAAAGAGCTAGATTCAATCCTTTTGTGTCTAACTCTAATGTTACTACTACCTACATCCGAGTGACACAAAAGCTCTCTGTGAAAGGACCCATACCATCAGAGATGTCTATGACCTTTACAATGCCTGCCTCAAAAAGCATCATTTGTATTAGGCACTGTCTTAGTTACCCGTGCTGCTGTAACAGAAATACCAATTTACTTCCTCACAGTTTGTTAAGGCCGCAAGTCTAAATTTAGAGTGCCAACACTAAGGGAAGGCATTCTCACTGTTGGCTCTGGAAAAGTCTTTGAGCTTCTGTCCCTAGGAGATCTTCATGTGGCTTGGTATCTCACCTTGCTAGTTTGCATTTAATCTCTTTTATATCTCAACATATTGATTCAAGATACAGTCCACACTAACCCTGATTTGTTAAACATGACAAAGACAACCCAATTCCAAATGGGATTATAATCACAAATATAGAAGTTAGGATCTGAGATCTGAAACACATATTTTTAGGGGACATAATTCAATCCACAAAATCCCATCATTTTATGCTCAGACCCCCAAATTCATGTCCTCGCCACAGGTAAAACATATTCCATCACATCATGTCAAAAGTCTAAAATCAATTGCAAGTCCAAAAATCTCATCTTCTGAATAAACTAAATATGGGTATGTTATTAAGCATATTCTACCCTGGGTCAAAATTCCTATGAAATCTGTAATACATGTTAGCTATTTCCAAAGTCAAATAGTATAACAAGCACAAAGTGGACGGACATTTCCATTATAAATGGGAGAAACTGAGGAGAAGAATGGATAAGGGGTGCCAAACAAGTCTAAAACTCAGCAAACAATTTACATTAGTTCTCAAGCCTTCTTCTCTAAGACCATCTGGGCAATGGTGCTTGCCCTCTGGATTCAGGGTGGAGGCCCCTGATCCTGGGCTTCAGCTTCACCTTCCAGGTCCACTGGAATGACAATTCAACTCCTCTGGAAGACTCCATTCACTTGGTTCTCTTAGGCCCCATCTGAGTGGCAACCTAATCCTCAAAGTCTCTTTAATTGATATAATTCTTTGTATAATGACATCACCAGTAACTGCTACATAAGTAGGTAAGAAAATAAATACCTGATAGTTTGTGAAGGCTTATTTCTTGGCTTTTTGGAACACACTCTGACATATTCCTTTTTGTTTGTGTTTTCAATGAACTTCACATATATCCTTTTGTATTTGCTCTTTGCATCTCCAAAATATCCAAGGTACTAAAGAAAGAAACACTTTGAATTACATGATTGTAAAACCTGTACACAAATATTACTTTATTGGCTTAAACGACTATCACATTGTTGTCCTGTGCCGTGGAGTCAGTTCTGACTCAGAGCGAGCCTGTATAGGGTTTTCCAAGGCTTGCAAATCTTTGAAGGAACAGAAAGCTTCATAGCCATCCAAGATGTAGCTCTGGCCAGAATTTCACCCTAAATAAAAATGATCCTTGGGTCATTCACCACTGGAACTCTACATATGGTAGCCATATCATTTGGCTAATCTAATTCACTCAATGTTATTGGACAGCTACAACAATACAAAAGAATAACTTCTGTCAGTCTTCTGATAACATGGTATCTGACTGATACTGAAGAAATCAATATAAGAGCTAAATCCACCTAAGCGTTTTACTAACTCTAATTCCTTTCCTTTATAAAAAAAGTTAACACACACTGTAAAATAATTTAATTTTTAATAGTTCACATTTACCCATTTGATTTTATTTTTAAATTAGATGATCAGATTATCATATACTTAGTAGTTTAAAATTATGCTATATCAGAAATACTTCATATAACATAAATCAAAATTTAAATAACATCTTTTCCTCCAGGATCACTGTCAAAACAGGAAAGCTAATATAAACAAGCAATTACTTACACTATTTGTTGCAGCAAATTCTCTCTGCCCATCTCTAATTTCAGGAACAAACTTCTGTAATAAAGCTTTCTGTACCTTCCAAATCGCTGGGGGTTCCTTTCCTGATTTTAAAGCCTCCTGTAAAAGACAGAATTAATTACATTTATAAACAATAGTGGTTACGAATTGGGCTGCGAACCTTAAGGTCAGCAGTTCGAAACTACCAGCTGTTCCACGGTAGAAAGATGAGGCTTTCTGCTCCCATAAAGATTTACAGCCTCGGAAACCCTGTACAAGGTCGCTATGGGTTGGAACCGACTCGACGGCACTTAACAACATAAACAATAGCGTCATATTTTATATTTACAGAATCTTAGTAATGAAAGGAATCTTATTTAAAGACCCACTTACTTCATCCTTTTCTCTCTTACTGGCTGAACTTTTGTAATAATTCTTATAAACTAGTTATATTTAGCCTCTGTTTAAGTTATGCAGACATTGGGAGCCATTCAAAGTAGCCCAGTGCCCTTTTCCATAGTTAAAATAATTGGAAATTTTCCTCTTAATGATATTATTATTATATATTATTTATATAATAGATATAAGTAATTAATGATAATATTGTTAATATTGTTAATAATAATGATATTATATATTATTTATGTAATTTTTTTATGTGGTGCTGTTGGATTAGCACTGGACTACCAACTCTAAGGCTGGTGGTTCAAAGACACCAGCTGCTCCATGGAAACTTTATACAGGGTTAATATGAGTCAGAACTGACTCGACAGCACACAAAAACAACATATACATAGAACCACATATCACACATAAATATGCTAATAACTAATTCATTATGCTAGGTAGGAACACAGATTTGAATGTTATGTTCATTATACTTTTAATATACCTTTCCTGCCCAATAAAAAAGAAAAAAAAAAAGCAAAAGCAAACAAACAAAACTCTCCAAAATTGGTTTTCTTAACATAGTCAAAAATTTCTTGTATGAAACTATACCATTCTTCTCATGGTTTTAAAATTAATATAGAGAGATTAATTCTACTTTGTATGGTAATCCTTATTAATTTTTTTCTTTCAATTTTAAATTGGGCAAGTGACTATTCTTTCCAAACTCCTAATAGGATGAATTGGGAACCTTGAAAAATTAGTATTTCAAAATGATTCAACTTCTAATACCTAAGTGTACCATTCACATATACATAAAACTATAATAAAGTTTAAATTATTTTAAGCTGTTTTGCAAAATAGCTGGTAGCTTCTGGATTGATTTTATTATTTTAATAAATTGATAACAGAAAAATAATAAAAATATAACATTTGCCATGTAAGTTAGAAGTTATTGAAATCACTGCAAAGATTATCATAGTCATGCCAAACTGTGATCTCTATACATGTAAACATTCACATCACCTTAAAAGTCTCTATGTCTTCGATCTTTACCACAAATTCATCACGTTCTCTGTATTGGCCTTCTCCTCCGCTTTCTGTGTTCTCCTCATCTGTACAACCTTCTATGGCAACAGAGTCTTGTTCCTTAGCAAACTGATCTGAAGGAAGACCATCATGTTCGACGTGTTTTGGGGGTTCTGTAGACTTGATATTTTCTGGAATGTTTACTGTAGATGAAGTAGAGTAGAGAGGTTCTTGCTTAAAAGTACCCACAGTAGTGGAAGTAGTAGTAGCAGTACCAGTAGTACTGGTAGTTAGGCTAGTAGTGGCCACCTGTAGGGCTTCTGAAACTAAAGCAAGCAAATGCACATCAGTATTATAAATATGGAGAAATGAGTTTTCAGTAAAACCTGGAACAGTTTAAAAGGGAGACTGGATTACTTTTGCCATCAAATTGGCTGAAACATTCAAAACCACAAGAAATTAAAGAATGGTTGTTTTTTTCTAAAACCAAAATAGGAGAAAAATACATCTGAGTGACAAGCTGACTGAGCCACTCAACAAACTAGGTTATAATAAAAGGGAATTTCCTCAACTTGATAAAAGAAGTATCTACAAGAAACTCAGACTGAATGCTTTCCTCCTAAAGTCAGGAACAAAACAAGTTTGTCTATTCCCTACACTTCTATAAAATACTTTATTGTATGTAGGTTTCTGTCAGGGAAATTGGGCAAGAAAATGAAATATAAGGCCCCAAAAGAAGAAAAGAAGTAAAAAATGACCTCAATCTAGAGATGACCATGCGTATAGAAAATCCTGTAAAACTGTAAGAAATAACAAATGAGTTCAGCAAGATTGCAGGATACAAAATCAATTGTTTCTATAGACTAGAAATGAACAATCAGAAAACAGAATTAAGAAAATAATTTAATTTACAACAGCATCAGTAAGAATAAAACAGAAATTTAACAAATTTACACTTTTCCCTAGAAAACATTGTTGAAAAAAGCTTTTAGATTTTTTATAATATTAAATATTGTAAGATTTAAAAATATTTAGTATTATTAAGATGGCAATACTGCCAAATTAATCTATAGATTCAACACAATCTCTATCTTAAGTCCAGATGCATTTATTTGCAAAAATAGCTGAAGTGATTATAAAATTCATATGTAAGTGCAAGAGAAACATTATAGCCAAAACAATCTTTAAGAAGAATTAAGTTGCAATACTGACACTTAACCAATTTCAATACAAAGGTACAGTAGTCAAAACATTATGATAAAGGGGCAGATAAAGAAATGAACACAATAGAACCATGAGTCCATAAGCAAACTCTTACACGAGAGGATTTAAAAGCTCATGGAAAAATGGAATTAAAAGATAATGGAGTTTGTTCATAAACTTTTTGAAGCTCCCTCATATTTATGGTCAATTGAGTTTTGACAAGGGTGCCTAATCCATACAACAGGGAAATATACCTAAATGTGAAACTATAAAACTTTTAAGCGGAAACATAGACTCTGGGTTAGGTAATGGCTTCTTAGCACCAAAAACACAAGAAAAAATAAATTGGTCTTAATCAAAACTTAAAACCTTTACAATGCAAACAATACCATCAAGAAAGTGAAAACATCATCCAAATAATGGGGAACATACTAAAGTAAAATTCATATATTTAACATGGATTTGAATGCAAAATAAAGAACACATATGCCTCAAAAATAAACAGTTCAATTTAAAAATAGACAAAAAAATCTGAATACATATTTGTCCCAAAAAACCATACAAACTGTTAATAAACATATGAAAGGAAGCTTGACAACATTAGCCATTAGGTAAATCAAAGTCAAAACCGCAAGGAGATATTTCACCCCTAACAGAAAAAATGGCTTAATAATAACAAAATACACATAAATTCACCAGAGATCTACAAATTGCTAAGAAGCACATGTAAAGATGCTTAGTGCCACTGGTGGTGGTGGTGGTGGTTGTGTGCTGTCACACATGGACCCTGTATAGGGCTTTTGTAGGTAATCTTTATGAGAGCAGAAAGCCTCAGTTTTCTCCTAGGCAGTAGTTGGTGGATTCAAACTGCTGACCCTGTGGTCATGGCTCCTTTCAATGCCATTGTTGTTATTATTGTTAAGTGCAGTCGAATTGGTTCCAACTCATAGTGACCCTGTATAGATAGGGTTTCGGAGGTGCTGCTGGTGGGCTTGAAATGTTGACCTTGTGGTTAGCAGTCCAGTACTTATGCCACAGTGCCACACCAGGACCAAAACTACAACAACAAAAAAATCAAAGTCATTGCTATTGAGTTGATTCTGACTCAAACGTACCCTATAGGACAAGGGAGAGCTTCCCTATAGGGTCTCCAAAGCTGTCACTGTTTACAGAAGCAGACTGCCACATCCTTCTCTTGTAGACTGGCTAAGTGAGTTTGAATTGCCAATTAGCCCATAATACTGCATCACCAGAGCTCCCATTAGTCACTGTTGTTAAGTGTTATCAAGTCGGTTCTGGTCCATAGCAACCCTGGATTGGGTTTCCGAGGAGTAGCTGGTGGGATTGAACCTCTGACCTTGTGGTTCAAACTGACTTTGTGGTCCAGCACATTACCCTGAGGCACCATACCATTAGTCATTGTTGATGTTAAGTGCCATTGAGTTGGTTCCAACCCACAGTGACCCTGTATAGGGTTTCCGAGGAGCAGCTGGTGAGCTTGAAACCACCAACCTTGCAGTTCATAGTTTTGCAGTCCAGCGCATTAACCCACAGTGCACACCGGGACACCCCATTAGTCGTTGTTAAGTGCCATCGAGTCGGTTCTGACCCACAGCAACCCTGGATAGGGTTTCTGAGGTGCAGCTGGTAAGTTTAATTGCCAACCTTGCAGTTCAAAAGGCTTTGCAGTCTGGCACAGTAACCCACAGTGCCACACCAGGACTCCATTGTTGTGCCGTATTTTCATCTCCCTAAGGACTCCATTAGGGAGATGAAAATAAAAACAATGGTGTAGACAAACTCATCCCTATGATAAAATGACTATGATCTTTTTTCAGTGGAAAATATAATGGTATTGGCAAGGATATGGAGTGTTTTGAAACCTTATTTATTGCTGGAAGGAATATAATACAATCTGGCCACTACAGAAACCAGTTTGGTGGTTCCTCTAAAATGAAACAGTACTGCCACAGCAGTCTCAATCCTAGGTATATACACCAAAGAATTAAAGTAGAAATGTACACAGAAACAAACAGATCAATGTTCACTGCAGTGTCATTCATAATATCCAAATGGTATAAGCAACTTAAATGTTTATCAGTAGGTAAATGAATACACAGAATGCGGTACATACAAACAATGGGCTATTAATCATAAAGAAAATTGAAGTCCTGATACATTATACAATATGGGTTAACCATGGAAATATTATGCTAAGTGAAAAAAATCAGTCATAAAAGGGCAGGCATTGTGATGGAGCAGCTGGAGACTTTAGATCCAGAGACGGAGAGCAACTGTGTGCTGAAGACCTGGGGGGTACAGGGGAAGGATTGCAACCATGGCAATGAGACGATATATGATAGAATGAATGTAAAACTAATGTTCTCCCATGTAAACTATCACATAATCCACAATAAAACATTTGAGAAAAAAAAAAAAGGGCAGGCATTGTAAAATCCACTTTTATGAAACAGGCAAATAAAAATAGGCAAAAAAAAAAAGGTAGGAAAAATGGGAAAGGGGGAAGTCACTTAGGGGACACTACTAGTGTTTTTAAATATTGGTGAAATAATTTGGCAAAGGATAAAAGTAATGATGCTCAACAGTGATGAACATAATTTTTGTGTCACTGAATTATACATATAAAAATTATTGAATTGGTAAATGTTCTATCACATATAAGAGATTCGTGGTGTGGTACTTACTGTAAGATCCACACTGGACTTTGAACCACAAGGTAGGCAGTTCAAACCCACCAGCTGTTCCTCGGAAATTCCATACAGGGTCACTGTGAGTTGAAACTGACTCGACAGCACTTAACAACATATATATAAGCACTTGGCTGTAAACCACAATGACCACAGTTCCAACACTGCCAGCTGCTCTGTCAGAGAAAGATGAGGCTTTCTGCTCCCACAAAAATTTTAAAAAGCCCCAGAAACCCTATATAGGATCGTTATGAGCTGAAACTGACCAGCAGTTAACAACAATATATTTACCAAAAAATTTTAAATTACAGATAAATAAGAAGTTCTAACAAGAATATGGAAAAATTAGGGCCCTCATATATTGTTGGTAGATATGTAAAGTGGCATGAGAATTTTGGAACGTAGATTGGGCATTTCTGAAAATGTTAAACCTGAAATTATGATATATATCATGATGTATAATAACTCAGTTTTATAGTATGCAAGGAGAAGTAAAAAAACAAAAAAACAAAAACAATAAATGAGACAAGAAAGAAAAAGAAACAAAACAACTCGAATCACAATGTAAGAGGGTACATTTCAGTCCAATTATGTCTTAAATTACATTAAATGCAAATGGCCTAAATGTTTCATTTAAAGATAGAAGGTAATTCACCCAACTCTCCCAACAAAAGATGATTTTAAAAGTTACATAAAATATAAGAATCTTCTTAAAATCATGAAAGAACTAGCAAGATACTAACAGGCTGAGATTTACGAGATGATAGATATTCAGGAAGGTGACCATGATTTGGGGCCCACTTTACCCCAGGCAGGATATTTGGGGTTGAGAAGGAGAACATAAGAGTCCATGGCCTGTGCCATCAGGGTTGCAACATGGATATCCCAGAAAATGCCCTAGTAGGTATCTCAAAGAGAGAGCTTGTCTGGAGGAGAAAGAATATACTTTTTGGACTCAAATTATTACTCCAAATAATATTTAAGATATGACACTGATCACTCAATTAAAATACAAATGAACACATTAGGAGAAAAGACTACATTAATGAGAACTAGCACTATAAACAGATAACAGATACAAACCTACAGGTAGTCCAGAGACTGAAATTACAGACACAGACCTAAAAACAACTGTCCTTACTATATTGGTAAGGATAAACGTGAAATTGAATTTCAGCCAAGAATCAGAATCACAAAAAGTAACATACTAGTGAAAAAAGAAGAAATTCTGAAAAGGAAAAATAAAATATTTCAAGTTAAGATTAGGTCAATAGAACAGCCAAAGCTAAAAAAAGAATAAAATGGAAGACAAATTGATAAGAAACAATGGATGGACAGAGGTAAAATGCAGTAACATAAAACTGAAAAAAAGTTCTGAAAGCAAGCTGAGGGGGAAAGAAAAGTAAACA